TCTTTTAGCCTCCTTACAGCATGTTCATTCATCACCCTCCTATAGAAAAGATTTGTTTTAGGCCTCTCTTTTCTATACTGGCCATCATAAACCATAAATACTGGTAGATGATCACTAATATCATTTATAAGTTATCCACTTGTCATTTTGCTGTCAATAACATTGGTAAATATATTATCTATTAGTGTTGCATGCTGGGTTGTTACTCTACTTGGTTTTGTAATTTGTGGGTATAAACTGCATCTATATATTGTGTTAATAAACTCCTCAGTTCCTGTTATCTAGGTCTAATGCGGAATGTGAGCTGCATTATCAGAGATGTAGGATCCAGTGCTTTTGGAGCTTGACTTCTCTTACGGACAAAACCTCAGCATATCTTTGCCTTTGTTGCAATTTTATTCTATATTCATTTTCTTTTTCAAATAGTATTTTCTATTTCCATCAGAGGTCTGATGGCTAGCTCTTCGGAACATCCCATGTCAAATTTTTGTTTTATCCGTTCATTTTATATGTATATCTTCCAAAACAAAGTAGTGTTTAAAAAAACTAAATACATTAGCTGACAGGAGGGGGGAATCCACTGGGGTCCACTGCTCAGGTTAATCTGGGCTTTTTTATTAAAGTTCAATTTTGATTGCTGTGGTTTTCATTTCTTGGCAAAAGCCTTTTCAACTGCACTACACCTTTTCCTACAAACGGTTTCCTAATTTAGGTTCTTCAGTAGACATCAGTTCAGTGCTAAATGTACAACTGCCTTAGAGGATAAAAGAACCTATAAATAACCGCCAAAACGCCAGAGGAGATGGTACATGTGTAAGCTCACAGTGCTGGGAGCAGGTCAACACGCTGTCACAGATCTGACTGAAGCAAAGACTACATAAGACAAGACCATGCTCTGCAAACAGACAAGACAGTGCGCTCCTCTGTTGAATGCTGATGTAACAGATATCTCTGCAGCAGCATGACCTCGCTGAGCGAACAGCAATGAGGTTTATAATCACCAGAGTTCCTTTATCTTGAGGAGGATGATTTGTTTTGTTCACTTCGATTTATATGTTGTGGTAGTTGAGGCTGCACAGATTATTTCTGATACCAACAATACTTTAATCAATACTCCACTGCAAGGAATAACTGTTTCCTGTTTCTTCATTCACTAACCTAGTACTTAAGAGAGATACAGACAGATCTTTCAGTCAGTACTGTCTATGTCCAGACTCCAGCAAAACAGCATCTCATGGTCTAAGAAAAGAAACAACATTCAAGGAAAACCACTGACATAGCTGCCATCTGCTGATGTAGCTCCTGCTGATCTCTGCACTGTGTCCACACAAAACCAATTTTAACTGTATGTTTCTTTTTCCTCAGCAAACTCATGAACCATTAAAGGACAATTTATTACAACTTCCTATTTTTCTTATTTGTGTAGATTTGTTCAGTGTTTTCATCAGTTTAAGGTCTGTTTTAAGCACAATTGACACAGCTCTCAACATTTTAAAGGAGTGTATTTAATGTGTATGACACAATAGCCAAATATAAAACTCATTTATAGAAAGGCAAAGCCTACGCTTCGATGGAAGTGTGCCAGTTACAGCAGGGTGAGGGCGAACGGGTTTTAATGTCAATATTTCACTCACTGGTCAAGTATGTTGACAGAATTTCATGCCAGTACTCAGTAGTTCTAAATCTACATACACACAAATCAAACAAAGATAACAAACTAAACAGATATAAGCAAAATCAAACTTATAGCTATTAGGCAAGAACTGGACAACAACTACATACAGGGCAGACTATTGATATGCACTCAGTATTTCCCTTGTTTAGTTTTTTTAAGCAGCCGTGCTGTTGAGTGTGCATCTATGAGCAAGCATCATCTGACCCCCCTTTCAAACCTGCCAAGGATTCCAAAAGAAACACGCACATGTCGTCGATCCTTACTCGACCAGAACTAATGTCTGAGGACCGAGAAGCGAGGAACGATCACATAAGAGACTTGAGATGCAGCCATTGATTTTTTGAGTGTGATTCATACACACTTTTGACCCACAATGAAATGCACAAAGGAAATAAAGAAGCTACTCAGAGCTGCAAAGAAAGTCTACCATCTGTAGATGGGAGAACCATCCTCAGTGAAGTTTAACTGTGAGTGATGTTCCAAAGATGCAGTATGATTGACATTTGGCACATAATGTACTGTAGATACACTAACATTCATCTAATGTACAGCACATCTTAGTACAAAACCATGAGCTGTACACTGGTTTCCTGTATACTGAGAGCAAACATTATGAATTAAGCTCATGCTTGTGCACTATTTTGCTTTGGACAGTTGTGTAATGAAGAGGAAATTGTAAAAAAAAAAAAAATTGTGAGTCAACAGATGTTTCACTTTTTTTGTTCGAAAAATTCCAAAGTAGAGCAAAAATGTGTCTGGCAAAGGTTCACTTCTTTTTTTGTCTTGAAAACTGTGGGTGGCTTTGTCCAGCGCCACCCACAGTCTGTTTTAGTTGCCTGCTGTGAGCAGCCCATCCATGTCTACTTTGCACTGCATGACAAATGTGGCTGTCAGTAACACATTTCTGAATCAAGAGGCTTTAGTCTGCATGCCTGCATTTTAAAGAAGACTTCATTTTGTCCTTTGAGGTGAGCCTGAATGTAGTACTCAAAACCACGCAGTGCAAGAATGAACACAGTATATGCATAAACATGACAACTGAGACATAGCTTCAGTGTCTGGTACCTCTACTTCTTTTCTGGGAAAAATCTCTGGTTTTCTCTTTGGCTGCAACAGATACAGGGAACTATATGGTATATTCATAAATATGGGTGCATGTATGATGAAAAGAAAAGCGCCCTCAAAAACCAAACCTCAGCAACACATCACCTGAGGAGAAAGGTGTCTTAGTCTATACTATAAAAGGTCTGACCTTATGCCCCTTCATTTGTACATCATATTTTAGCTCATATAGGTGAAGAGAAATGTGTGCCACTCACTGGCAGTGCACTCTGATCATAGATTGTCAAGGTAATTAAATCACCTACATTATTAAACATGAGAGGAGGATAATTACAGAGACCTTCTTTGAGAAGAGCCTGCACACTGTATTTTACTCCCTCCAGCACTGAACCACAGCAGCCTCACCCACAGGTGCTGGCAAGTGTCCCCATCTGATATTTACTGAGCCCCAGTGCCTTGCTGCCCCACCATCTTACAGGACAAGTAAACACAACATCAGTCCATGAGGTGGGACAGGGAGGCCTACAGATGTGCAACACAAGTAGCATTTTGCAGCAGTGTTGCTCTAGGGGAATTTGTTGGGTTTTTCCTATATAATAATAACAGTAAGGTCTAGACCTTTGGTATATCTCCTGTTGCAGAACGGGTGAAGCTTTTAACTCACAAGGCTGTTGCCTGCATGCAAACGTTCAGCCTAAAGGGTCACTTTTTAAATACACGAGTCCGTTGCATGTGAATAAACGTAGTCAGGTTCTTGAAAGTTAGGAAATCGTACACAATGTCACAGAAGAAGAAACACAAAGTTACAGTCACGCCTCTGATTTGCCCCCTGGTGCCTCAGACGACTGGTTAAAACCAAAGCTAAACTAGTTAACAGCAAAAACTAACGCCACAGCCACTCTTTACCAACCCAGAAGGATATACAGCAGGTTCCACACACCTACACGATTACGCAAGTGCCGTTGTCATTTTGCAACTGCAAACGACGTGCTTTCCGTCGCTATTCGAAAGAAATGAGAGTTGTACAGGGCGTTGTTAAATTGTAAGATGAACAAAGCCTAACACAGATATTCAGGAACAATTCTTTAATTCTGTGAACCTTAGAGATCTCAAACACCACTCAACATGCTCACAACAGGAACAACCAACCACACCAACCTCTGTCCGACGAAAGGCTTATGAAGAACACGGCGCAAACATCGCAACTACAAACTTTTATTTATGAAATATATTTAGTTATAGCTGGTTTATGACAGACGTACGACCTGCAGCCTTTGAACTAAAATGTCTGAGTATTTGGACTGAGGTGCTGTAAATCATGTTATATGACGTAGAACCATGCACGTTTGCTGAAAAGCAAAACAATTGTTTACAATAGTTTAACGTAGTTTGGTAGTGATACCTCCCTGATACTGTGAGCGGCATATCCGAAGTGTCGAGTTCCCATAATGCTAGTGTGGTCGGTAAAAGAAGAGCCGCTAAACATAAACTCAGTAAATGTTTTAGTACTTACCCAGACTGTTTGTAGAGGAATTCATAATCCGAAGTTTAAGTAGTGGACAGCTTCTCTAGAAGTGCAGTCTGCGCCGAGGTGTGTTCTCCATGCTGAGAGCGGTGTGTTCCAAACCACACGCTGTCAAATCGACAGGTTTAGCAACATAAACACAGGAAACGTGCTCGGGTTTCCTGTAAATAAAGCACTATTGTTTGAAAGGAATTTAGACCAAATCCCTAAATCACGCGAAAAGCAAACGATACTGTGAAGTTAGGATAATTACATAAATAACATTCGATAAAATAACGGGTATAAAAAACAGACACATCAATGGTAGATTCCGCTGAAGTGTACCCCGGAAGTCAGGTGGGCCCTCCCTCATTCTGGCCAGCTTGACACTAATCGCGGGAAGGTGCCACGCAGAGATGCGTATGGTAATGAATGTGATTTTAAAACAATTACACCGCATTTGTTTGGAAAGGATTTGTCCCATCAACGGGCTGGGGTCGTGTAGTGCGCCACATCTATGGTCCGCCATCAAGTCTTCGTGTAGTTCAGTTCTGAGGAGGGAGGATCAAGACTGGACTGGACTTCACAGTTGTATACAAATACCAGATTCAAGTCACCACAACATTTAGATTCAGGTCAAATGAACTGTACGTTTGATTAATAAACACCTTTCATCAGGCTTTTCTTTTCATTTGTGGTCATTTCACAGTTTCACCTTTAGGCCTATCATATATAGGATCATCTGTTTTGTTTTGTTTTGTTTCTTTCAGCAAAAAAACAGTTGAAACATCAGTTTCAAAATATCTCTGTGTTAAGGTAAACATTTTGACTCTCTCTCTCTCATATATACATAATGTCATAATATCACTTGTATTGTTTGGCATTCAGGGTGAATGGCAAAGTAAGAATTTCATTGTGTAAGGAAACGTGTTTCCGTACTGTGCATATGATAATAAACACTTTGAATCTTTAAATCTTGAATCTTGAATCTAATGTTCACTTCCTCTGTAGACCTAACCTGCATTAGCCTAAAGCCATGCTTGTAAATAAATGAAGAGACATTGCTATTGTAACTTGGATAGTTATATAATGAATTTACAAACAATATAAATATATGTAGATGACCACAATATCCTAAACAAAAAACTAAATTATAGCACTGGTTTAGGTGCTTTCAGTAGGCTCTATATTTTTCTCCACATCCTCTGGTCACACTGCAGCAGCAGGAAGGAAAACGTATCCACAAAACCGCGTGCAGTCAAAAAATTCCACTTTCACATTGGCACTAGTGGATGTCAGGCAAGCTCACATGAGTGAACTACCTGGAGATTATGACCATTCAAGGCAATCCTTAAACTATTACATGTTAAGTATATGTTTTGTTTGTTTTTGTTGTTTTGTTTTCTGTGTTGTCCAAGGTTCAGCCAGGAGAGGGAGTTATTTCAAAATGCACTTCAAAGTAATGAGATTTAATTTACGAGAGGTATTAAAAAGAGCTCAGGGGTGTAGGATACCGGACTGAGTAAAATAATATAGCATAAATTGAGTATATTATTTTATTATAGTAGTAGTATATGGGGGCCGTACTGATCCACACTCCAATCCAGAAGGTGGCGGTAATGCACCTAAAGTAGTTTGCCAACCACCATTAAACAACAGTAGAAGGCGAAGAAGACGAAGGTCTTTCCAACATGGACGCGCCCACGGGGATTGATTTCTGAAGGAGACTAGTTTCTTCAGTATAAATTGTGAGTATTGAGTACATGATACCTACATATGCTACTGTGTTATACATACACCTGTGTCTGTTAATGTATTTTTTCATCTTGGCAAATATTTGTACGCAGTAGAGGTCGACTGAGTAACGTTTCTGACCACACGCAAATTCATAAAGTTAAACATGATATGGCGTTACTTTTGAAAAAATTGAACTCTTCTTAGCCATTATCAGTTCTCTTTCAAAATAAAGTTGGTGGGCTTTGTCACTGTTGGATTTAGATTTGCCAGAGCGACGTATAAAATGACCTACTTTGAGAATGGGACTGGGAACGTTTGAATACTGACGTTACCTGCTTCTTGTTTGTTTTTCCACTGCAGTTCTGTTTCGTGAAGGTCAGCATGATGGGTCGACCATGAAGTGTGCCCGCTGTCTGCTCCATCTGCGCCGTGTCGGACCTGTGGGCCAGTCAGCCAGGCCTGCTGCCCCGTCAGCCTCCTACAGCCAGAGCAGCGTGGTCCCTAACGTCCACAACCAGGTATGGCATCTAACCTCTGCTCAAACTATTGCACCACATTGGAATGTCCTACCAGGCCGAATAACAAAAGCAGGAAGAGAGAATGTGTGTTGAATAGAATGTAAACCAAAACAATTTCACTTGTAGGTATTGAGGCGTTTCCACGGTAGCCCAGCCTGTGCCAAGAATCGACCTCTACCTGCAGAGTTTGTTAATGAGGACAGCAAGAAGACGGACAAGTCTCTGATCAGCCATGGTGACCTGTTTGAGCAGGTGGCCAAAGAGGCCAAAAGCAAAGCCACCTTTAACAAAGTGGTGGAAGTCTTCATCAAGAGAGACGTAAGACGGCGGGGTCATGTGGAGTTTATCTACGCTGCTCTGAGGAAGATGCCGGAGTTTGGTGTGGAGAGAGACGTTGCTGTCTACAACAAGCTTCTGGATGTTTTTCCCAAAGAAGTGTTTGTGCCCAGAAACTTTATCCAGCGAATGTTCAACCACTATCCCCGACAGCAGGAGTGTGGCGTGCAGGTGCTGGAGCAGATGGAGAATTATGGTGGGTGTCTATTACAACATTCACTCTGCTCATGGAATTCCTGGAATGCTTTGGAATTTAGAGAGGGCTATTTCAAACAGGAAAAGGCAGGGATCTGGATACATTCTCCAGCTAAACCAAAAATGTTTCTATATTTAAACATTAGCAGTGTGTGTCTACCTTCAGTTTAAATCATTGTGTTTCAGGTGTCCTGCCCAACATTGAGACCAAAGTCCTGCTGGTCCAGATATTTGGAGAGAAGAGCCACCCCATAAGGAAGTACCAGCGCATCCTGTACTGGTTCCCTAAGTTTAAGCACATTAACCCCTTCCCCTTCCCTCAGCAGCTGCCAGAAGACCCAGTGGACCTGGCTCGCATCAGCCTGACTCGCATCGCTAATGACCTGGATGCTAAGGTTACCGTCTACCAGGTATAGCCATAGGCTTTGTATTTTACCTGCAGTCTTAACTTTTAACCACATCTCATTCTGCAAAGGGGAAATAAACTTTTATGCTCACACACACATATTATTGAGCAAGGTTTCAGGGATGCGCTCTAGTGTTTTTTGTGTGTGTGAGATCAGGACAAATTAAATCGGTGTGGTTTTGAATGAGCTTATTCGCAGAACATTCTGGTTTCATTTCATCAAGTCATCAGTTCTGAAACCTCCTCACCATAAATAACGTGTCATTTGCTCTTCCCACCAGCTGCCCTGTACAGACATTACAGAGAACGGAGAAGAGGTAACACTTCCACATATCGTAGGTACGCAAACACCTCCTCTCAAGTGTGATGTGTTACATTAGTTAACAAAATTCCCACTACTTATTGAATTTTCAGTTGTGTCCAAGACAGTTTATATTGTGGCAAGTCTGGAATTTGGAGTAAAATGTTGTGTACTGCTACAGAAATACATCAGGTTGTTTTCTTAAACACAGTTGCAGTAGTAGTTAGCCTAGCTGGAAAGGAAACCAGAGAACCAACAGGGAGAAACCAGAAAACTGCGTTTTCTCCATCTTAGTCATGGAAACTAATTTTAAAAATATTATAACAGGACAATGGTGGGGTCGTATCCATATATACCCTAATGTTTGCCCTTTGTGTTTGTTTCTGACACCAGGTATCCAGAGCCCCAGCCAGATGGAGCTGCTGGCCAAGCATAACTCGACCAGGCCGCTGTTTGTAGAGGGTCCCTTCCATCTGTGGCTGAGAAAGACATGCGTGTACTACTACATCCTCAGAGCTGAGCCCATACCACCTCATGAAAAGGTGGAGAGACCATCTGTTATCCATTGTCCGCTTTTTTTTTAAGTTAAGTTGTTTGATTTGAATCAACCCCCTTGATATCTTTTATTTAAATCCAAAGAAATGCACCATTTAATTAAGGTGAATACACATTGATAAGGTAAAAGTGGAATTTTGGCCAGGACACGTCAGAGTACCAAGCTTAACTCGTGTCATCGACTAAATTTTAAGAAGTTTTAATATTTGAGGCCATAAGCTTTATTTTAATGGTAGTGATGACAGTAAAAAGTTAGCAAGTTCCAATCACCAACTGATTTCCAATAAAGGGGGTGCGTGGGTCCATAAAATACTTCTGCGAATGATGCTTTTTTTTATGATTTCCATAATTTTTATTGCAATACAAATAACACATTTACAGGACAAAGGACATAAGATAGAAGATGAGACAACAGACATTAACAAAGGGACAAAGGGATTATTAAATTGAGTTTGTGTGCATGAATGATGCTCTTGAGTATCCTCACTCATGGCTCCTCCAGCACTGGGCAGCTTTGATTTTACATATTTTACATTGACTTTAATGGAAAACACACTTCTAAGTTCTTTCTAAGAATAGAAAGATTGCTCTAACGATTCTTTTTAAAACTACACAATATTTGAAATGTTAAGGGACAATCTAGCTGCTCACTGTTGAATCTTTCCAGACTTCAAAATGGTACAAAATGATGGCTGTTACTCATGGAAACCATCTTTGGTTCGGTCTAAACAGTACAGCTACCCGTGACTCCCCACAGGTGGAGGAGCCATATGATCCAGAGAGGTGTTTTTATTATCCTCTGCAGCTAGACCTGGATTTGGACCTTGACCTCGGAGATGACGAGAGCTTTGACGTGGAAGACTGTAAGACATTTACAGCCTCTCTCATAATAATCTTGCTTAACAGAAATCAGTTTTCAGTGTGTGACGCAAACTCTTTTGTGTCCAGTGGACGAGGGCCCAGTCTACGCCATGTGTATGACCAGCCAGGGAGACCAGACCACCTTAAACCAGTGGATCTCTGGCCTCCAGCAGAACAACTCTATCTTGGGTCAGATCCCCATTCTGTTTCGTCTGGAGGCTGGTCCCCGTGAGCTGCAGGCGGAAGCTGACACAGAGTCAGGCCACCACCACAGGCCTGACCCAGCGACCCAACAAGATCAGTCGCACCCTGAAGAAGAACCTGATGTTAGAGTGGAAGAGGAGCAGAGGAAGAGCCACGGCATGAAACAATGAACAGCTGTAGGACTGACAAAAAAGAAACGCGGCATACTGTATATGTCCATGCTGGGTAGGGCCTCAAGTAATTTCATTTAACTAGCAACACACCACCTCAACAGGACATGAGGAGGGAGGACTCTTAGTAATGTTGGTTAAGTTCCGCAGTCAAATAAAATAAATGAACCTATCGTTGTGTGCTTCCCTATTATATTCTCTGTCAAAGGTGCCACATGAGTGTACATGTTAAATGCCAGTGTTTTCCAACCTGGAGGCCAGAGTAACAGAATAGGAAACATTTCTACCACAGAAATCATGTTCAACCATCAGTTCTGTCATACTTGCCTCTAATATTTGCTTTTTTTTTTCTAGTAAAGTCATTGACCATCTTATTAGTCATATTGTTTCCTTTAAACATTTGTTCAATAAAAGCTTCAGTTGAACTAGTCACAACAGCAGACATGCAAGGGGAAAAGCAAGTAGATGTTGCTTCAGGTTGAGGGATCATGAGTTAAACGTTGGCTCAGGTCATTTCCAAGCAGAAAAAAATGAATCGTGTTCTTAGTTCCTCATGTATTCGTTCAAACACGTGACAGCCATTAGCCATAGCTAGTTACGCCTCCTTTCAGGTATTAATGGCAAAATATAAATTGAGTTATCGAGCCTGCGTGGTGTGACTTTTACAATATTTTTGATACATTACAGACGGGAATGACTGGCCTGACAACTTTTTACATTTATTAAGCAACTGTTTAGAACCCAACATTCTTACCAGCCAGGTTTAGCTTACCACACATACAGTGTATCCGTGTCACTATATAAGACAGCTAATATGTAAAAAGAAATGTCACTGCAGAGATGACCTATGTATGGGGTGAGGACATTGCAGTGTTGGGGAAGCTGCTCCAGGGAGGAATCTAGTTAACTAAAGCCACTTAGGAAAGGCAGTTCAAACTATGAAAGAAATTAACAAGTTGACAACTGTAACAAAATATATATTCACATGCCAGCAAGAACTGATGCTCATGTATCACCTGAGACCTGTCCTAAACCAGCCACATAAGGGATGACAGTGTTATCCCCTCTTGTTTCTGGTTTCTCCCTGTTAGTGTTGGGTCTCTTCCTTGCTTTGGTGAAGGCCCACTTATGTGGCGGGTTTGTCAGAGAAGTTAAAGAGGATCTTTCGCAACCACAATATCCCAGTTAACTTTAAACCAGGCAACACCCTGTGGCAGACTGGTCCACCCAAAGGACAAAACACCCAGACATAAACAGAGTGATGTGGTGTACGCAATTAAATGTAGTCAGGAGTGTAACAACTTGTACATTGGTGAAACTAAGCAGCCGCTTCACAAACACATGGCCCAACACAGGAGGGCCAACTCCAGTGGGTCCACCTCCACCTGAAGGACAAAGGACATTCTTTTGAGGACAGTGAAGTCCAGATCCTCTCCAGAGAACATCGCTGGTTTGAGAGAGGAGTTAAGGAAGCTATTTTTCACCAAGTAGAACACCCCTCTCTAAATAGGGGTGGTGGACTAAGACAAGTTGTCATCCATCTACAATCCTGTTTTGAGATCTCTGCCCAAACATGCCCACCAGGACAACAGGCGTCGGTCCACATGTGAGGGTTCGTTAGAGGACATTGTTGGCCACCAAAGGACTGGAACCCCACATAGGGGATAAATACCTTTTGATGAAGCCCCTAGGATGAGAGGTGAAACATCTTCTACCTAAAACTACGTCCAGATGACTTTGTCTATGTTTTTTCAGCATCCTATGACCTGGATGACTAAGAATGTGCACAGACATTATTCTGTGGGACATACCGTGCCTCTCCCGAAAGAAAAGAAAAGTTACTAAAATCCATTCATTATTTCTGACATTCTGTTAACACATGGTAATAGAAAAAACAAAAAACAACTTTAAAAATGCCACCAGTGTGTTTGGCTGGGTCATGTCACCTTGAGTATAAATCGGTTTTCACAGGAATGTTTGATCTGAGATAGAAATGAGATAAATGTTTTTAAATGATGTCAGAGAACAATCCCAAAGATAGAAAAGGTTTATTACTGAAAAGGCAACATTGCCTTTGAAATTGTAAACAAGTCAGAATTACATTCTCAGAAGGTAAATCAGCTTGGTCACATCCAGCTACTTACGGTACACTGTGCTGTGGTTGTGCAATCAGTTTCTCCAAGCATGACTGACCCCACAGCTTTGTGCTCAAACAGGAAATGATTTCAGCCTTTTACTCTTATTGAAAATCATACAAAAAGTATGAGAATGCATTCCAGAGCTGATCTGTGATATACAAATGTTCTTCTGTTTGCTATTCACACAGGAAAGCCTTTAGCTCCTCAACTACTCACAAATGAGAAACATTTCTAATGGAACTATCTATGGAAAATGCATCATTGATAATCAGTTACATATGAGGAGATTCAATAAATAAATAATGTTGCTCAAAAAAATTGTGAAACAGTACAAGAAAGAAAAAGCTGGCATTTTGTAACCACTTCAGTATTTTCTGTATTTACATTGCACAAGATTTTACGTCACACGGTGGAGTTGATATGAAAAGCAAGACAGCTTTTACAGCATTCAGAAAGGTAAAAAAAAAAGTTTTCTCATACAAAGTTGTCAAAGAGGAGTGTAAGTAAGGTTCAGAGTTTGAACAGCACGGTACAGTACCTCATAGAAAAACACATGGAACATTTCCAGATGCCCATTTACTAACTAAGAAGGGTCTAGAAGAGTCTCAAACCTGAATGTAGACCCGCCAGTAGTGCAGGAAAACATTTATACAAAACTGATAACTACCAGCTTTTACAAATATACTACAGTATAAAGTGTTTAATTCTTGTGCTGTAGGTGTGTGTGTGTATCTAGACACCATTTATATGACTGGCTGAATCTGAAGGGTTTAAATCTAAATTTACTGTGTGATTTATAGTAAATATAGCTCTGATGTGATTCTAACAGCAGCTACTGAAACACATCCTTAACCTGACATTGCACTTTCATTTCTTTTGACCTATTTTATTCATTTTTTAAAAACTGTTTAGTGTATAATAATTCTCCATTTGACATCTGCTACTGTTTATATCCCATTGATTGGCTATCAATGAGTGGCTGCAGAGGCTGCTATACCTGCTAGGACTGTTTATTTTTCTGACTTTAAAGTGAGACTATGCAACTTTTCAAAGGATGAAATAACACAATCGTCCTCTTACAAATGAAATGTCAAATTTCTAAGCAATAAATACAATCCTGCTCGGTTCATTATACTGTTGGGTTTTATTACTACAGTCTCATTTCTACTTGTCATCTACTTTTTTAGTTTGGCCCGTGTTCCATCCACTAACATGGTGGGGATGGGATTTATGACCTATACTGCAACCAACCACCAGGGGGCGTGTGGCAACTTCACTTCTGGCAGCTGTCAGGTCTCCATATTTTATACAGTGAGTGGATCAGACGAGATGATTGGTCGAGGACCTGGCTTCTCCTGTCCTGACTGGTCTTTGCCAATAGTCTGATAGATCTCTTTAGGCTTTCTGTGGAATTATGGGATTGGAAGTTGTCTTTTGGCATCTGAAGAGCCTATTTGCTGTGTTGTCAGTGTGAGGGCAGATTTTCTGTGACTGACTTATTGCCTGGATTTAAGAGACCCTACAACAAAAAGTAACATAAGTAAACACAGTGTGCATCACTGGGACTTGTTGCCTCCTGCTTGTGGTCCCATTCTACTTGCTCTCTGTCATGTCACCAAATATCTTTATATCATATGAGTCAAGAATGCTGGAAAACTCATTAAAATGGCTTCTGGAACTGCTACCCTTGGCCACAGAGGCAGCTGCGTGTTTAAAGGAAGGGTTTTACGGTCCCTTGATGGCCAAAATTCTGCTTCAAAGCAATAGAATTAACCTATGTGGGAAACACTGAATGTTTACAGTTGTCGAGGCCAAATTTGAAAGGCATAATTGAAAGTTTTAGAAGTAGAGAAATAATTAAACAAGATAAAATCATCTATGTTTTACAGTATGTCTGTTAAGAGAGATCCTTGATGCATTTAACCTAACTTAGCACAGTGTTTCCCAGAACACTGAACATAAATTGAAATATTGTCTCAAAATCTCAACTGAGGCTACTTCAGTATCAAAACTGTGTATACAATGACATAATAAATACAATCCTTCTTGGAGTGACTCTTCCCTGTACAGCATTTGCTTCTCAGGTAACTTTCTGTGAAGGTAAACAAACCGATAACAAAATACAATAAATAAAAAAAGACAAACTGTGGGTTTTCTCTCCTGGTCTCTGGTCTTCAGTTAACTCCTGCAGCCCCATTCTCTGCTGATTCGTTTCTGTGTGCTTCTGCAAAACAAGCAAGGAATTATCATTCTCTGGTCAAAACTAATGATAAGATGACAACAGTAGACAGTGCTTCAGTATACAGACTGTATTTGTAGGATTTAAACAGTTGACAGACAGAAATTCAGAAACAAAAATAAATGTCATCTGAAATAGTTTAAAGATGCTCTCATCACTGCAGCTCCTAAATAGACGGGTTGGAAGAAGTCAGCAGTCTAAAAAGGCTTGCAATCATTCCATGAGCACGAAGGCCATAAAGCCTTGGACGAGCTCAGCAAATGTCATAACAATCTTACAGGAGATAATAAAATATCTAGTGTGTAAATGTTCTGAAGGTGGAGTGTGTTCTTTACATCATGAGAGGACGATGAAAATCCATTTAATCAGCAAACTGACTCATTATCAGCAGTTCCATAGCAGTAACTATTAGAAATCCTGAACCAAGTGAGGCTAATGGTAAAACCACTGTATATTAAGATGAACAGAGCTGCACTTTTCTCTTTAAATCAACTGAAATCAGCTTTTCATATTATAAGAGGATGACTGTGATACTCCTTTTTCAAAGGGTATGCAGTCTCGCTGTAAAATCCAAATAAAAGTCACGTTAAAGTGACCAGTAGTTGTTGGGGTATTTTCCTCTGACCCAGTATTAGCACAGTAAAACTGTTGGCCCTGGTCCTGGTTACCTTGACTGCTATCTTGCTCCCTCTACACATTGTCTCTCTGAACTCATACTGTACCTGTCAGGGAACAGCTGTGCTGCTGGAGTTGGTTGGTGAAGAAGCGTTCCCGCTGAGACACCTGCTCATTCCAGGTGTCCAGTATTTGCTGTCGCTCCCCAGGTTCTAGCGTCAGGGTGTCTGGGTGGGCCTCGTCAATGTGGGCCTTCACCTCCTCCAGACTGTGAGAGTACTGCAGCTCCCCACAAACCATGCACACCAGCAGCTGGTTGAGCGGGTCGTAGTCCATGAGGTAGTGGTTCCTCCACATGGTGTCTGAGACAGGAACTTCCTCACCATTATTATTCCCATAGTCAGCAAACAGAAGCTCTGACTCATCTGAAGAGACAGCACAAGTACACTTCCATGCTAATTTTGCCATTTTAATGTGTATTTTTTTCAGTTCAAAGTGACAGTTAATACTACCTTCTATTGGTGCTGTGTAATTTGAGTATGGAAAGGACCCTGGTTCTTCTTCCACTGAAAATCTTGGAAAGAACAGTTATATTAACTATTTTGCTACGTAGAGCCTGTAGCAACAATGCCAACAGGAGGCAAATCACATGTCTCACCTTATTAGATGTTCTGACTCCTCAGAGGGGTTCGCCCACTGACCAGTATCCTATAGGGATTAGACAGAAAAAGGTCAGGATCAGAAAGGAAAAAAATAAGATTGTAATAAAGAAACTTGGAACATGTTTATATTATAGATGTCCCAAGCTGATCCTAACGGTCCTACTGATCCAGCCTTGTTTTAAAGGTTGGTATCTTCCAAAATACAGCTGATCAAATGCCAGATATTATGTATATTAATCTTATTTCTTCACTACATTAAAATGCAGTGAAGAAATAAAATCAATTGTTACATTTACAGCTATTTTTTTTACTGTCTCCCCCAGCAAAAAAAATGAATCTGAGGTGTCCGTTCTTCATCAGTAGTATAAACAGAACAATCAGAGCCTGTTAGCCACAAAACAAATGTGTTGTACAGTCAGTACACAGTCAGACCCTTTCAAGTTTTCCACATAGTTATATTTCAGACCCATTAAAATGGATTTAATTAATTTTTTTCCTAATTAATCTTCACACAATAATAACTTGAAAACTGTTTTTTCAGGTGTTAAAAATAAAAGACTGAAATATCCCATTTACATAAGTATTCACATCCTTTAATGTGACACTGCCAATTCAGCTCTGGCGCATCCTGCTCCCATCACTGGTCATTGAGATGCTTCTACAGCTTGATTAGAGTCCACCTGTGCACACACACCTCTCACATACAGCACACACCTGTCTACGTAAGGTCTCATAGCTGATGGTGTAACTGAATCAATTTTAAGATGAAAGGGTCTGAAAACCTCCAGCACTGACTGTATATCTGTGCAGCTCTGACCTGTGTCTGTGGGTCCGGAGCAGGAGCAGGTAGGATGCGTCTCCAGTTTTTTGAGGCTCTCCTTTGAGCGATTCCCTTATCCTGTATGGCCTTCCTGGCTCTCTGTTCCTTCTTTTTTATCCTCCAGTACTCCCGTTTCCTCCTCTGAAAGTCCTCCTCAGACTCCCCAGGTACTGGCTTTGGTAGACCCATGGTGCTTATAGGTGCTAACTTGTTGGGAGGTTGTATCATATGTGTGTGGCTCTGAAGTTGAACACAAGAGACTGTTATTGGACTGAGGGCGGAATTTGGACTTTGACCAGGAGGTTCAATGGGTTGCAGGTTAATGCTAGATAGCGGGTTGTCTGGGGGTTTCAGAGTAGAGAGGGAGGGGCCTGAGTCTACGTCTGTGCTTCCAGACATCCATTGTTGTGAACCTAGCGAGGCCTCTTTCTGACTCTCAGGAGCTCCTAGATAGTCAGACCCGGTCTGTGAAGGCCCAATGTTCATGATGTTCTGCTGACCTCTGGGTGAACAGGAAGCACTGGCGATGGGCAATTTGACCTGGAGACTGGCACGTGGCTGTTCAGCATTATGTGTTGTAGGGCTAGCGACCGACAGCTTGGGTGGGGGGGCTGGTTTGGATGGAGAATTTACACCCTTAACAGTGCTGATAAGACCTGGAGCCTGAAAGACAATACAACATGAAAAAAAGACTAAAAAAGATGTTCCATAACTTTAGCAAATGAGATTCAGACATCGGTCAATAACCTCTCTAAAACATGCACATACTATACACTGTTAACCCCCCCACCCATATTCAACC